TGAGCTATTAGGTAGAATAAATTCACAGGGCAATGACCACTGCTTGCAGCTTAGAAGAGAGAATTCAGAATGTGGGCCAAGTTCCTATCCTAAGCATGAACCTCAAGTACTTGAAAGAAAAAAGCTACCTCAAGAGTGGTGATTTATTTTTATTTTATTTATTTTTATTTTTTGAGATGGAGCCTTGCTGTATTGTCCAGGCTGGAGTGCAGTGGTGCGATCTCAGCTCACTGCAACCTTTGCCTTCCGGGTTCAAGTGATTCTCCTGCCTCAGCCTCCTGAGTAGCTGGGACTACAGGTGCGCGCCATCACGCCCGGCTAATTTTGTTTTTGTTTCTTTCTTTTCTTTTCGACAGTGTTGCTCTGTGGCCCAGCCCGGGGTGCAGTGGCGTGATTTCAGCTCACTGCAACTTCCACCTCCCGGGTTCAGGCGATTCTCCTGCTTCGGCCTTCCGAGCAGCCAGGATTACTTCGCCACCACACCTGGCTACTTTTTGTATTTTTAGTAGAGACAGGGTTTCACCATGTTGGCCAGGCTGTTCTCGAACTCCCAACCTCAGGTGATCCACCTGCCTCGGCCTCCCAAAGTGCTGGGATTATAGGCGTGATCCACCGTGCCCGGCAAGAGTGGTGATTTAGATGTGTGGGCTTTGGTAAAGAAAAGGTACAAGGTTACAATAATGCAAATGCAGAAGGCTTGAGATGTTTTAACTTTCTAGACAGGTGTCTTCACTTGGTAACAGACTCCCCTGCCTCCTCTCTGCCACCCCCCAAAAGCAGCGGACAAAGCAGCCAGGATATGAATACAGTTTATTACAGTTTTCAGACTCCCATCCGACACATATCTAAAGCTGAACATTGCAAACTGACGTTACTAGCAGCAATTCTCCCTAGACAGGAAGGGTTTCAGTTACTTTAGCAATTAGGAGTAAAGACAAACTTACAAATCATGTTTTTCTTGTAGCAGCTGGTATATGAGCAGTGAAAGTATAGATAGGTAGAGTCATTCGGTTTAGCCTTGTCTAAAAAAACATTAATAAGTTATGGTGCAGAGGAGTATCCCCAGGGTTGCCAAAGAGAAGGCTGATGTCTTTAGATGTCAGTATGAAACAAGCAAATCACTTTCAAGACATGGCTTACTATTTGCTTTACTGTCAGGACAACAGAAAAAGAAGTGGACAGCTACCCTAGATTCTAGCTCACACATAATTCAGCCAGATAATCATCATTTAAATAATACCCCTTGAAATTTCTCAGACTTTTCACAGCTCTAAAAACACAACATCAGACATAACATCACACATTTGTTCCAAAGGACTAAATATCAAAAGCAATTGCAAAGTATTGGGAATCACTTTTATGGCTTTCCTAAGGGACAGTCCCCATCTTTCCCGGGAGTGTTTTTAAAGAAGCACTAACTCTGGTAGGTTATCAAACTATTTTTTATTCTAAATAAATAAAAGACTAACTGAAGGTCTCAGGTGTACTTATTTTTCTTCCCCCAGATCTTCCAACCATCCAAAACCATTTATTGACAGAGAGCTTTCATTTTTATTAGAGCAGTGCAAGACAACGTACAAACATTTGAAAAATACTCAAAATACTGAGAATGAAGGAGGCCCAACCCTTCCTCAGAGCCCAGAAAACTGACAGAACCCCAAAGGCTTATCTTAAATCCATCAACTCAATTTGCCAGAAAGCGCTGACAGACCACCCACCTTTGCAACACAGGCCCAGGATTCCTGCACTTACAACCACTAAGAAAAGCCTTCTGGGAGAAGAAAAGCACAGACTGGTGAACATAAGTTACTGAAAAAGGGTTGACTGCATTCTATATCTGGCACAGGAAAAGAAAAATTCAAACAGCTGTGAAACCATTATATTTACACCACAATACTCTTACATGAACCTTGACTTTCCTACAGCAAGTTTCATTCATAAAAAATACATAAAAGATTGGAAAGCTTTGGGGTAGCACCAGTGACAGCTAGCTGTCATTGAATAGTTTTAATTTTTTCCTAGAGGCAAAATTTAGAGAAAATTTAAAGAAGCAATTTATAGAACTGATTCTATTTCATGATTTTGCCTTTGTCAGCTGCTATGGAAATGGTGCAAGCAGAAATATAAATATCCATTCTGAAGCAAGTAAGTTTCTATTTCTTTTTTCTCAAAGGGTAGAAGTGGTACCTCTCAATTTTTGTAAGGCGTCTGAGGATTAACGGCAGCTCATCGCTCATGACTTGACAATCTCTAAAGGAGCTCCTGGACTTTCTCACCACGAGGATAGACGGAGCCACTCCTATCCACAACTCATAGCAAGGATCTCTACGCATCTAGATTTTAATGCCAACGGTTTCTTGGCTTCCTGACTTGACATGCACCATGCACAATGCACAAACAGCAAGGTACTGACTGGTCTAAAGCCACTCTCCCTGGACACTGCTAACTCTGGCTAATCATCTCACAGACATCCTGCCTCTGATCATAAGATGGTCTCTGGAAGGAAGTATAAACACTTCCCAAATACTAGAGCAGACAGCCCAAAGTGCAAGTTCTACTAATGGGAGAGTAAAAGACTCACCTCTGTATACAAAGAATGGCACATGAAATTGTTTTGAGCATAAAACCATATCTCCCCTTTCTTAGTCACTTGTTATTATCTAACAAAGGTAGATACTTTTGAGAAGACCTCACCAACTACCTAAGTATGTCCTGTGAATTGTCTTGAAAACATATTCCCACGTTTAAAGATTACTTTGAAGAGCCAAAGTTGAATGTTCAAAAATAAATACTATTCTTACCAAGTTTCCCAAGCCCAAATCCCTGGAGAATACTAGAAACCAGTTTTGTTGGTTTCTAGTATTTCAGTATTCAGTATTTCAGCTGCACTGAGCTCCCCTCAGGTGAGCTGGTGGGAGTTCGTGGACTCCATTACTTTCCTCATTTTCTTTCCTTCTCCTGAGGAAGCCTTCAGTTATTTCCATAGCAACTTGTGATAATGTCCTAAATGATCACATTTTTTGAGTAGCACATATACTATTGGGACCTATTTTTTCTTTCTTTTCAACAATATCTTCAATAATAAAGAAAAGGGGGCTGGGCGGGGTAGCTCACGCCTGTAATCCCAGCACTTTGGGAGGCCGAGGTGGGTGGATCACCTGATGTCAGGAGTTCGAGACCAGCCTGGCTAACATGGTGAAACCCCTTCTCTACTAAAAATAAAAAAAATCAGTCAGCCATGGTGGCTGACCCAGTTACTCAGGAGGCTGAGGCAGGAGAATCGCTTGAACCTGGGAGGCAGAGGTTGCAGTGAGCTGAGATCATGCCACTGCACTTCAGCCTGGGCAACAAGAGCGAAACTCTGTCACCAAAAAAAAAAAAAAAAAAAAAAAAGGAAAGAAAGAGAGAAAGAGAGAAGGAGAAAGAAAGAAAGAAAGAGAGAGAAAGAAAAGGGAGTAATCTGTAAAAATGAACTTTTGTTAAAAAGTAATAATCATGCTTTATACAAAACAGCACATTTACTAGATAGAATTCATTCCAGACCCACTATCCAGACCAAACAAACAAATGGGAACATATGGCCCATAAAACAGATCATACACAGTTCAAACATAATTTTTCATAGCCATAATTGTCATGTTGGGCAAAAAATGGTAAATCAACCCTTATATGGCTATATGAAAATTATATGTAAACATAAAAATGGCATATGTTTAAATCAGGTTAGATTTAACTAGGCAGTGGAATGAATGAAAACTGATTATATTCCTTTTGATTCCAAATTTCTACCTTATTGGGAAAGTAGAGTACATCATTCTAGCTGCGGGAGAGGGCAGGCAGGTGAGGATAGCCATACAGGTATATGCAGTGTTGCCTGATGATTAAACAAGACAACTATTTTGGGAACTGAGATTTCAGATACACTATTTAGAATTTAGACTGGCAGCTTCCAAAGATTACTGTTCACTTGAGTTTGTAACCTGGAACCTCCATAAACTTTAGTGCATCTGATCTGGCTCTAGAGTATACTTTACAATGCATTTAAAAATAAAAACAAGTAAACAAACAACAAACTTCTACAGATTGCCCTTTTGGGATGTGTCATTTTTAGATGCTCATTCTCCATTTGGTGCTACATATAAACCCCTTGAAAAGTATAGGGGATTCTTTCTGATAACGATCAGAAAAGGGTGAGGTCTGGGATTACAGCGGGAGCAGCAAAAAAAAAGTTACTCTCCTCTTCCTGAAGATACTCTTCCTGAGAACTTCCACTGTCCCTTAGGCGGAAGGAACAGAATATGGAACAGTTCCAGAAGATATCGTTGCCTTCTGAAGATAGTTACAACAGGATCATAACTATGACCCCTAAGATTATTTTGTTTTTTGAGACGGAGTCTCGCTCTGTCGCCCAGGCTGGAGTGCAGTGGCGCCATCTCGGCTCACTGCAACCTCTGCCTCCCGGGTTCACGCCATTCTCCTGCCTCAGCCTCCTGAGTAGCTGGGACTACAGGCGCCCGCCACCACGCCCAGCTAATTTTTGTATTTTTAGTAGAGACGAGGTTTCACCGTGTTAGCCAGGATGCCCTCGAATTCCTGACCTCGTGATCCACCCGCCTCGGCCTCCCACAGTGCTGGGATTACAGGTGTGAGCCACTGCGCCCAGCTAAGATTACTTTTTTATGTAGCACCTGCCTTGCTTATAAGACACAGAATTCTTACAAAGCTATGAAACAGAGTCAGGAAAAATTACTTATGGCACTTAAACATGTTTAGAGACTGTAAAATGCCTTTCTTTAATTTTTGTCTCAATGCCCCTGTGAGGTAGGTGTCTGTGGGGAAAAAGCTGAGGCACAGAGGGGTTAAATCTGCTCACCTTTCATTGCATGATGAGCCAGTGGTCCAGCTAGCAGAAGGACCAGGTGTCCCAGCTCCCTAAACTTTATTCACCCTGCTTCTCAGAAGGCTTATTTATGTTACACAACAAATACAGCAGGGGAAAGTTTTCTTTTCATACATTTTAATTAGTTGGCTATTTCTTATTCCCACCTTGAACATGAGTTATCTCAGATAAAACCAAATAAAAACAAAACAAAAAAATCAATATTGCCTAACAGTCTGTGTCAAGATGCAGCCTATTCTGCACTAGTGATTGAAAAAGCACAGAATATGATTCAAGTAGAAGTATTTGCGGGTGCTATGGTGTTCCTGTTACTCAAGCCAGGCTGTGAGTAAAGTGTCCCTTTAGACACCACCCACTGTACTTTGTAAGAACTTCTTTGGCCCGACACAAGGGAATACATCTACCACCCCTGTTTCATGGTGAACATTCTGAAAGATATTCTACACATGCTGGCCCTGCCTGGAAAGCGGACTCTCAGCCATGTGATGTGTATTACTGAGTTCATGAAGAACTCTTTGAAGCTGGACATGAAGGTCACAGTCTCCTGACATAAAGTTCACAGGACAGTTCACACTACGGACAGAGGGGCAATACCACAGGGTACATGCACTAGCACCATGCCACAGAAGTCAAAGAGAAGGACAAGAAGCCACCACACAAGCATCTTAGAGTCCCATCTGGTATGCCATTTGCAGAGGCTACCTCTGGTAAGGGGAAGACTGAAGAGGTCCTGTATTCCTTTCCATAAGAAGAAGAAGGATCGAAACAGAACACTCGTTGCTGGCTGCTGTGAGCACCACCACCTATCCAAATTCCACCCTACATAAGCTGGTAACTTTCCTAGATCTTGTAGATATTCAAAGACAATACATTTCATTTCTTCATCAAGAGAGAATCATGTCAGGCAAAATTCAAAAGTTAGTTACAAGATGTGAATGCAGGGCTCCAAGGCAACTTACACTGCTACTCTTGGAATCGAATTCATGAGTACTCAGGGCACTAGCTTTCAGACATGCAATACTTCTTTTCGAGATTTCTTTCCCCTATAGTCTCTAAAAAGTAAGTTCCACTCATATTGTGACCCCTAAGTCTAATGGAAGATCAGATATTTGGTTTCAGGGTCTGAAGTAAATCACGATACCAAATCAGATGCATGTATCTATGTATGCTTTTTGCCTTGATATTAATGCAAATGCCCGCCCTCCCAAGGCCTGTCCTCCCCTTGAGCTCATCTTCCAGGTGGCTGAGCCTGCTCTGTCCTCTGCTTATGCAGGACCAGAGGGAATCATTCCAACTCAGAGTTTCACTGGGATACTAGGATACAGCATAGCAGCAATTCATGCATTTTATTTCTAAAAACCAAAGCCCAGGCTGAGCTGGTCACTGTGCAAGATGAACCAGCAGGACATTCTCGCCTCGAATGAAAATCTGATTTATGTGTCGAGTGAATACCTGCTGGTAATCCACTTTGGGCTTTCGCTTTTTCTTACGGGACTGGCCTCTGGAAAGGGTGGTAGCCCTGGAAAAGGTACCTCCCACACTGGAGCCTTCGGTCCGTGTAGTCCTCCCTGACAGCTCTGACCTGGACTCCTCCCTTGCAGAGGCCTGCAGGGAAGAAGGGACAGAGCGGGAACGCTTGTGTGAGCCCCGGTCAGTGTCTCCTCTTCCCCACACTGAAGCCAACTTCCAAGTGGATGTCTGTGAGTATCTAGACAGAGTGGAATCTTCAACTGCAGACTTAGAATCTGCTTCCTTCTTGGAGGAATCTTGAAGTTTCAGTCGATCAAATAGCTATAAAGAAAACAATGATAAATATTAGCCTTCTCTTTAGCCTTCATCACCCTCTTTCAACATACAGAAAAAGACCAAATTCTTTAATTATGTTCTGTGGATTCCTTGCTTTGCAATTTTTTAAAAGTTAGTAATAAATCTCCTTTCTTTTTTTTGGAGACAGAGTCTCACTCTGTCACCCAGGCTGAAGTGCAGTGGCATGATCTCACCTCAGTGCAACCTCCGCCTCCCAGGTTCAAGCGATTCTCCTGCCTCAGCCTCCCAAGTAGCTGGGATTACAGGCGCCTGCCACCCAGGCGACTAATTTTTGTATTTTTAGTAGAGACGGGGTTTCACTGTGTTAGCCAGGATGGTCTTGATCTCCTGACCTCATGATTCACCCGCCTCAGCCTCCCAAAGTGCTGGGATTACAGGTATGAGCCACCACGCCTGGCCATAAACTTCCTATTTCTAACTATAGTGCAGATAATACGTATGTCAAGAGAAAAGGCTTATTTCTGTGGTATAAAGCTCAAAGACTTTCAAGTGTTGTAAGAGACAACTTGCTCCTCAAACAATATGCAGGTTACAAGCACAGACTCACTTGAGATTCACTGGAAGCATGAAAAGAGAAACTAAGGAAGACCTTGGTATAGGCACAGCTGGTTTATAGCAACAGAGATTTCTCTCTAGGAAATCCTAGTCACTGGACTCAGGGATCTCAATTCCTAAGCTGGAAAGCATGATGGCTACTCAGGAGGTCAGGGGGAAACTGCCTACCCTAGTGAGAGTCAGTGAAGAATCCCGTTCATATGCTTTGCCTAGGACAGGTTTTCGGTAGGTCTCGTCCACATCAGTAAGTGCCTAGAGGAACAGTCCAAAAGGAAAAACATTAGACAGAATTAAAAAATTTTTTGTATAGCTTTTTCAGGGAAAAAAAGGCAGAATAACATCTATTCAGAGCAGAACTACACTTAACAGGTGACTCAGCTCCTAGGCAGAAGAAAATGGTGACACCTGGTACCTTCTGTGTAGTATTTTTAAGCTGCTATCACCATATAAGATGGGTTTCACCTACGGATGGTAAGGGTCTTTATGACTGCATGGTAGAAGGTCTTAAATTTCAGTGTGCAAGAATATCTAGGAGGTTTATTAAAATACAAACCCAAAGCTATTCTGCTGGAGATTCTATTTTGGTAGGTCTGGGATGAAGCCCAGGAACCTTTTGTTTCAGCCAGAAGCCCCAGGTGATTCTGATGCAGGATGGCTTCGGACCCCACTTTGAGGAATACTACTGCTTCTTTACCCTCTTCAGTTTCTATGTCTTATGAAAGCAATTAACAGAAATTAACCAGGGTTACACACAGACTTGCTGGTGAGTTCTCATCACCGAGAGCAACCTCACAGGACAGCTGTTAGGACCAAATGAGATGTATAAGACTAATTCCTTTGAAAAGTGTAAATCACCCTACAAATACAAGTTGACAGTACTGTTATAATCACCACTATCGCCTAATACATTCTCTTCAATTCTTTCCTTCAAAGGTAAAACTATCATAATAAAACATTTTTCCCTACATTTTGGAAATGAGAAAACTGAGGCTCAGAGAAATTATCTTGCTTACAGTCACACAGTTACCAAGTGGTGAAGCTAGGATTCAAATTCCATAATGGTTGAAAACATGGTTTTAGGAGTTAGAACGACCGAGGAAAAAGTTTGACACTTCCACTTACTAACGGTGTGATCTGTGAGCAATATTCCAATCTCTCTAGACTCAATTTCTTCATTTGTGAAATGGAACAACTCATTCATTGAGGTAACATATGAAGCCCTCAGTATAGTATCTGGCACACAGCAGGAACTCAATATATGTCAGCAGCTACTGTTCTTTTCCAGGAGGATGCATGGATGGGGATGAAGCACAGGGAAAAGGAAAGTTGGAGACAGAAGACCAAATGGAAAAGAAACACCAGAAAGCTCTGGTGATTCTTTTTTTTTTTTTTTTTTTTTGACAGAGTCTTGCTCTGTCACCCAGGCTGGAGTGCAGTGGCACGATCTTGGCTCACGGCAACCTCCACCTCCCAGCTTCAAGCGATTCTCCTGCCTCAGCCTCCTGAGTAGCTGGGATTACAGATGCGTGCCACCAAGCCTGGCTAATTTTGTATTTTTAGTAGAGATGGGGTTTCCCTATGTTGACCAGGCTGGTCTCGAACTCCTGACCTCAGGTGATCTGCCTGCCTCGGCCTTCCAAAGTGCTGGGATTACAGGCGTGAGCCAGGGCACGTGGCCTGGTGGTTCTTAACCACCTCAAATTATAGTTGTGCTATTACATATCGCTTCTCTCCTACAAATGTCTAGAAAAAAAGGCAGTAAGCCTCTAGAAGGCTAGGAAGTGTGGCACACTCCCTCATTATAAAACCACCATGCAGCCGGGCACAATGGCTCATGTCTGTAATCCCAGCACTTTGGGAGGCTGAGGCAGGCAGATCACCTGAGGTCTGGAGTTCAAGACCAGCCTGGCCAACATGGTGAAACCCCATCTCTACTAAAAATACAAAAATCTGCTGGGCATGGTGGCAGGCGCCTGTAATCCCAGCTACTCAAGAGGCGGAGGTTGCAGTGAGCTGAGATTGCGCCATTGCACTCCAGCCTGGGCGACAAGAGCGAAACTCTGTCTCAAAAAAAACCAAAAAGACATCATGCAAAATGCTTTGTTTACTGATGTCTGCTTCACCTCTATCCTTATTTACCTTCCCATGTACTGCAGAGTGCAAGTTCCTTTCTGAAACTTTTGCACCTAGCATGGGGTTCAGCCAAAGTGGGAAGTCAATAAATGTTTTTAAATTAATGAAAGAATGATTGGTAGAAGATCAACTAAAAGTTACTAAACCAATAAAATAACTGGTCCTTATGGCTGGGTTTCTCAACCTTGGCACTAATGACTTTTCAGACTGGATAATTATTTGTTGTTGAGGGACTATCTTGTGTACTGCAGACTGTTTAGCAGCAACCCTGGCCTCTACCTATTAGATGCCAGTAGTATCCCCTCCTACAGTGGTGACAATAAAATGTCTCCAAACATTGACAAATGTTCCCGGGAGGGAAGGAAGAACAAAATCACCTTGGTTAAGAGCCACTGCCTTAAGGAGAAGTAAGCAATAAAAAGACCTTTTTTTGTTGTTGCCCAAAAGCATGCAAAAATTCTAGTTCTTCTGACAAGTTATTTTTTGGGTTTTGCTTAATGTAGTTACTCAGGTCCTTTAAATATATAGAAGATGTAATCTGTGGGAGGCTCTCCCGCCCTGTGAGAAAGGCTTAATTACCATATTCCAGAACTTGTCAAATGCAACAAGGAAGCCTGTACAGACGCCCCGAAGTCCCTTGAAAGTGCGGATGTGAACATTCACCTTCACCCCCTCGCGGATACAGCGATGGAGTTCACCCAGAGGGCTGCCTTCGTGCACTGAAACAAGAGAAGATCAGGACAGTCTTAACATCTGCCCTCATTCCCAGAATTAAGCCAAGACCACCCAACTTCAGCCAGCAACATGAGGCCCATGGTAGAGTGACAATCTCACTATTGGAACAGGAAGGTCCAATGGGCAACATGGCTCGTGCGGTCAACACACACTGACACGAGACTAGATTCCAACAGAATGAGGATAAACCATATGTATTGATATCAGCCAAATGTTTCACTACCAGTATATCTTTTATTCTACGATGTCGCTGACTCTAAGACGAACTATCACTTAAAAACTTCTTGGGTGGGCCGAGTGCAGTGGCTCACACCTGTAATCCCAGCACTTTGGGAGGCCGAGGTGGGCGGATCACCTGAGGTCAGGAGTTCAAGATCAGCCTGGCCAACATGGTGAAACCCCGGCTCTACTAAAAATACAACAATTAGCCAGGCATGGTGGCCCATACCCATAATCCCAGCTACTCAGGAGGCTGAGGCAGGAGAATGGCTTGAACCCAGAGGTGGAGGTTGCAGTGAGCCGAGATCCTCCCCCTGCACTCCAGCCTGGGCAGCAGAGTAACACTGTCATTAAAAAAAAAAAAAAAAAAATGGCCGGGCACGGTGGCTCACACTTGTAATCCCAGCACTTTGGGAGGCTGAGGCGGGCAGATCACAAGGTCAGGAGTTTGACACCAGCCTGGCCAACATGGTGAAACCCCGTTTCTACTAAAAATACAAAAAATTAGCTGGGAGTGGTGGCCCACGCCCGTAATCCCAGCTACTCAGGAGGCTTGAACCCAGGAGGTGGAGGTTGCTGTGAGCTGAGATCGTGCCAATGCACTCCAGCCTGGGAGACAGAGCAAGACTCCGTCTCGAGAAAAACACACACACAAAATGCATGTATCAACAGCAAGATCCTTCTCAATTGTGTGCCTTAAGACAATTCATGAATCACATACCCAGCTTGAGTCTTCCAAAAAACCAAAAGCTTTGTTTACATGTTCAAAGGAAACAAACTGCACTCTGCCCTTAAACACGTGCAATCCTGTCAGAAAGAAAGGCCTTTGACGCCACCAAAGCTACTCCACGCACAAGCTCTCTGGAGTCACTAGTGTTTCTGGGAGGAAAAGCACTGGTTGTAGCCCAAGCCCTGACGGTGTAAAAGGCACCTGCTGAGTATCTGGCTCCTATGACACTACTAATAAGCATCACATGAGAAGAGCAGGATAAGGATTTATGGGAAGAATACTGGGACTATAAATTTCAGCTTTTATTATGAAGGATTCTCTTCTCAGAGCGTGGGAGCAAAGATGAATTTTATTTTTATTATTTCATGTTAACTCAGCTCTCACAATATGCTGGCTATGGTATATAAAACCTCCCCAAAGAAAACCATACATTCTTCTTTTTTTCCTGAGACAGGGTCTCACTATGTCACCCAGGCTGGAGTGCAATGGCACAATCACGGCTCACTGCAGCCTTGACCTCCTCGGCTCAAGCGCTTCCTCTACCTCAGCCTACTGAGTAGGTGGGACTACGGGCACGCACTACGCCCCCCAATCTCTCTTTCTCGTGCATACAGTCTCAGTCTTTCCCAAGTTTGCAAGGCAAAATTCTGTAGAAAGTTTATTTGTTTTTGGTCAGGTCTTAGAAGTCTGGATATATAGAGATTTGGCATTGACAGTAAACAAATGAAAAATCTCTCTTGCTTTGTTTCTAGTGGTATAAAGGAGAACAACAGCCCTGCACTTCAGTTTGGATAACTAAATTGGTTCCTCCTGAAGCCATCTTATCCCTCTGTCATAGATTGGCTTATAAACCACGGCTGTGATAAATTAATAAAAGATTCTTAGAAGAAAATGACTTAGCAGACTAGCAGGAGGAGTTTATCTCAGATTACAGGTTTGGGAATAAGTCAGAGTTGGAAGCAACATGAAACAGTGACCTTGGAAAAGACCATGAGAATTTTGGTCTGACCATCACCATTTACCTCTCTTCTAGCAGTATTTTAAAGTCCTTTGTACATTTGCTAGCTAAGGGGGGGTGTGTGTGTGTGCATATGTGTTATAGGCCGTATTAAATCAAGCATTGTAAACAACTTTCAGGTCATTATAACTAGTTGCGTGACCCTGGTGAATAACTTTTTCTTTAAGGTCCAAATTTCCTCATTCATAAAATGAGGTTAAGATAGTTAACTTGTAGAGTTATTTCAGGACTAAGTCCCAATAATTCAATTTCTTAGAAACTGATCACATGCCTGCATTATTTCCTTTTCTACACATACATATATACTGCCCACTGCCCTACAGATGTATGTGTTTACACAAAGAATGGAAAGACTATTTTTTTTCTAACTTGGAAAAAAACAGGGACATTACTTCTTTCTCACACCTCCAAAACAGAGAGAAAGGGCAATCAAGTATCTCAGCAACAGTCTCTTCTTCTAATTAAATAGATGGCAAATTCAGGTCTTTCAATTGGTCTTTCTCAAATGTGTAGCTTTAATTTTTTTCTTCCAAAGATTTAATAAGGTGTAATTTCAGGAAGCATTGCTCTCCTTGTGTGTGATCAAAAGTACAACACTAGCACCACCTATCAGAGCAAACCGCCAAGGCAAAAGTGAGCTCCCCATTCTGAATCAGAGTGCACACTCTCTTTCCAGCCGTCTCTGTGGCAAGCTCCAAATGGACGTGTCAGGTTTCTATGACAAAATACGACAAAAAAGCACACGCCTTATCTTTGGAGAAAGTTACTCTTCCAATCCCCTTCTCTACTGCCACACCTTTCCAGATCCAGGTCATTTTCAGCTCCACTCTTCCTTCTCCTGCTACATGTAAATTATACCATCACAGCCTGATTTTAAAATAACTGTTCTCAATCATGCCCTTCTTTAAAGACCTAAAACTTACCTCTTACGGGAACTCTTGTTTTCCTTAGAAATATTTAGTAGGAATGTAGGAAGAGAAGCCATGTCTGTGTCTCAGGTGGCGGCAAAACAAGATGATGGATCCCCCTGCCATGACCCCCAGACGCAGGGCTTATATGCTATAGGGAAAGGGTGATTCAGAAGGGATGTGTACGACAATTGAAGTAAGTTAACATCAAGGTTGTTCTCACGTAAGGACAGGAGCTACAGTAAGTACATGCTCTTACACAAGGAACAACAGATAAATTGGAAATCTTAGAGGCCTTCCCAGAATTGGGTTTAATCAGAAATCAACATGGTGTATTAGCATTCAAGATGGAGTTGGTTTAGCCTCCACAACCACCTATTCAAAGAAAATTTAAGGACAAAACTGTATCTACATATATATCTCCAAATATACAAAGTTATTAGCTCATTAGGGCATAGGCAGCTCCCCAGATTCCATAACCTATTAAGGGCCCAGAGAAATGAAACCACAAACTGTAACAGTCACCTTATGAGTCTGCAATAGAAAACTATTTTTTCTTTTCTCTGAAAACAGTTTTAGTTGCCATTCTATAGAAGGGTGCCATGACAGATTTAAAGCACAATGTTTGAATCAGTTACCTGGCAAAGGCACACCAGTGTCTTCCCTATTGTGATGCTATGTCAAACTGGCCAACACACACACACACACACACACAGCAGTGTGGTGCAGAAATCATCTGAGGCTATTCTTTAGTTGCACTGGAGACAGCTGCAATGAGCTGAGAAAAGTGACAAGGTTGAATTTTAAGCTTGGCCTTTTTTGAAGCCTAAGTACCCCTGTTCTCGGTTTTATGTAAGTCATACTCATGCACTTTTGGCAACCTCTGGGTAACAAAGATGCTGTTCAAATTTGAGAGTTCACTTTACTGCTGTATGCAGGGCTCAGATGTTCTTGATTTTGCTTATTTTCTTGCTCTTTATTTGCAGGTAGTGAAATCAAAGTTATCCAAAGAATATCACTTTATTAAAATGAAAACATCAAGACACCATATTGTGGGAAATTATTTCAGCAATCAAAGTAAACTACAACAACAGGACTCGAACAAATTTCCAATCGTGATATTATGTCAGAGGCCCAATAAATCAGGTTTGTTTTGAAATCCTTCTCAGCAGGATGTGTGCGAGTAAAAGGAGTGTGTAGGCTCCCTGCAGGAGAACTGAATTTGGAACTGGAGACAAGCCATTCACCTAGACAGTGGTCTAGAAGTCAAATCCTGCATGTCACATGCATTTTGGATTGACCACACACACTTGTTCATACCGGCACAGGCTGCACACCAACACACTTGTAGCTAAAACAAAGTAATGATAACACGTTTTCTCACAGCTTTATAATGTCAAGATGTTAGCTTGAATACACCAGTTCGTTTCACAGTGACAGATATACCTAGAAAAAGCTTGCTTGAAGCATAATTATAAACCAGAACCACTGTGGATCAGGTATGGTGCTGCGATGCTAAGGAGAAATATAGACACTAGAATTATGTGGAAAAGAGGATGATAATGCTCTTTAGTCTTGTCTTACCGTTCTCTATAGGCGCCTCAATATTAAAAAGGAGGAAAAGCAATTACATTCCACTTGCAAGTAGAGCTTGTGCTTGAGTTCTTTACATGGAGAAAATGTGGAATCAATGATGGCTTAGGCTTAATGATTATGAAAAACCTTTCCTCCTATGCTTTTTCTTTTTTTCTTTAGTATTCCCAGTATTGCAACAGCCTCCTATACTTTTATTATTACTTTTTTTGAGACCTCTTATCACCTCTGTAGACATCCCTATGATGTCCTATGATCTCGGCTCACTGCAGCTTCCACCTCCAGGGTTCAAGCGATTCTCGTGCCTCATCCTCCTGAGCAGCTGGAACTAGAGACAGATGCTGCCACGCCCAACTAATTTTTCTATTTTTAGTAGAGACAGGGTTTGACCATGTTGGCCAGGCTGGTCTTGAACTCCTGGCCTAAAGTGATCCGCCCACCTCAGCCTCCCAAAGTGCTGGGATTACAGGTGTGAGCCACTGTGCTTGGCTACTTTTAAAATTTTATTACTGCAAGGAAAAGAATAGGACTGCTCCACAAGGGACTTCAAAGAGATTCTATGACAGAGATACAAAGTGAAACATTTTATGGTTAAAACACCATTACACTTAATTTTGCACTCCTTCCACACTGTCCTGTCTGTGAACTTGGATGGGTAACTTGGATCTGAATTGATGAAATACAGCATTTTAAAGTCAGCAACAAAATGTAGCTCCTTCTGTATTCTTCATTATGTTTCATTGATGATATGACCTAACAAACCTTCTGTTTGCTGTTACGGCCTGATGTAACTTACATTTTATGTAAATATTTTGCAAAGAATTAAGCATTCTCAAATGCATAGCCATTTTTTTCCAGAAAGCATTTGTATATGTCCACAAATAGTTTTATCTTACTGGTATCTATATTTTGATTTTTCTGAGCAACTGTATCCAATCAGGGTTTAGAGTAGGCATATATATATATATATATATGTATATATAGTTTTTTAAATTAAAACTGTGGCATACATATAAAATATACCTAGTTCTTTTCTTTTTCCCTTCCAACTTTTGTTTTTGGATCAGGAGGTACATGAAAAGTTTGCTGCATGTGTAAATCATGTGTCACTGGGGTCTGGCGCACAAATTATTTTGTCACCCAGGTAGTGACCATAGTACCCGATAGGTAGTTTTCTGATTCTCACCCCCCTCCCACCCTTCACCCTCAAGTAGGAACTCTTTCTTGAATAAATCCAATCCTCACCCATGTTTCTGTTGTTTTCTTGCTTTCTGAAGGTCAACTCTGTGTGACGTCAACACCTGTCTCTCATGTACACCCAACTGTCTGCAGTGCCATGGTGAAAATTTTCAGTATGTAGGACACATTCTCTGAGATCTTAATTCCAGGGGTATACTTAATCACAAGAAGTTGACAAAGCCGGTCTTCACACACTGTCATATCATTACAGTGAAGTGCTCTACAGGGAAAGCCAAAACCACCCACCACATAGCAATACACAGTAATATTCCTTTCCCTTGATAATCTTGGTAGCAACGCAATAACTGGTAAAATAGAAATGTTGCAATGAGACTTAAGAGTGCATTTCAACTAGCTAATGGTGGCAAATTGCATAGGCAAATTAAGGTCCCCCAAACTGCTCTCGTTTTGGGAACATGCATACTGTTTTTGTGTTACAGCCGGGCAAGCCAGCTGGGGTAAATCCTAGCTTGGGCAGGGATGCTGTGGCATGGTAAGACATCCAGCAAAGGCACACATAACAGCACACAGCGTTTCAGGATGTTTCTCTCTTAATAAACAAATTTCTAGGAAGGAAGAAAATCAGTCCTTTGCTTGGCACACCTCTCCATCCAAAAGGCAGTGACTTAATAAGGTAACAATTGAATTACCAGGATACAGATGCTTTGAATAGCTAAGTAGGTCATTGTGTTCACAGGGCAGATGTCAGAACTGCTTGCCAGATGACAAAAGAGATAACCCTAGGCTGTTTTTATTCCATTTATACAAGACTTAACTCACACATTAGAGCCTCTGCTGTTTACAGCTTTACTCTAAGGATCTATTAGGAGGCTCCAAGAAATTCCCCTGTGCCATTTACACCTTTAGAACTTAAAATAATCTGCACATATGGTAATATGAGCCTGACAGACACAGTCCTGCACCCAGCCAGGCAGAGTGGCTGTAAAACAGCGTCTGTGTTTTAGAGGCATTCTGTGCCTGCTGCATTTCAGCACTTGTGACTTAGTAATGTGAACATATGTGTATCAAGACCCTGCAGCCCTTCTGCTTATCGCACTCAAGAAGGAGCTGTCAATGTACAGGGGTTATGGGATTATGCGCCTGTGCTATCTGAACAGATCTCCCCACACTCCATCCGATCCTCCTCAAATCCCACTGACCAAATACTCTCCTTCCCCTAATCTTGGCTGTGCTCTCCCCTCACGTCTCCTTTTCCGCCCCACCTTACCTCTCACTGTGGTCTCTAAGACCTCTCATCACCTCTGCAGACGTCCCTCTGATGTCCCCCAAACTCTGTAGCCCCCGCCACCTCTCCAGGTCCTCCATCAATCCTGTAGACCCTCTCCGCAGGCTCATCACCTCTGACCCCATGGGCCCCGATTACCTCTACAGACCTTTCCCACGGCTTCTTATCACCACTACAGCCTCACCACTCTCCCTCTGTTGCTCCTACAGCCCCTTTTCTTACTCAGAGGGACCCTCCCCACGCCGTCATTACCCACATTACTCAAGCAGTTCCACCCCACAGTCGCTGCTGATCCCCGCAAATCTCCAAGGCGCTCCCACAATCCGTGCAGACCCGCGCCCGGCCACCGCCGCCCCGCAGACGCCCCCTCGGCCGCCAGCTTCCGGACGGCGGCGGCCCCGCTTCCCGCCCGGACCGCGGACTCACAGGGCATTCGCGTGAGCACGTTGCGTGGCGCCTTCCTGCTTCGACCGGGACCCCTCCGGCCCGCTCCTGCGGCTCCGTCCCCTTCCTCTTTGGCCACCATGAGACGGCGGAGACGCTGGATGCGCTCGGGGTCCGGGGCGGGCGCGTCCGGGCGGCGGCGAGTCCTGCCTGAGGGCCCGGGCGCGGAAGGAACCCCCGAGCCCGCGGCCGCGCCCCGAGCCCGCCCGCGCCCGCCGCCCCGGACCCCGGTCCTGAGGAAGCTCTCGTACTCCGCCACGTTGTTGAAGCAGGGGGCATTGGGGTAGGGGATGGGAGGCAGGCGGGGCGCGTACAGCGCCAGCAGCGGATCGAAGCTGTCAGAGCTGACATCCAGCCGCGGGCTGGGCGGGCGCGCGGGACTCGCGGCGCGAGCCGACCTCGCCCCCCGCTCCCGCTCCTCCATGTTTGAAAGGCCCGCAAGCCGAGGCCGATGGGAAGAAGGAGCGGAGCCGCCAGAGGGCGGCACTGCGCAGCCGCGGCGCGGGGTTGCACTGCGCCGACGCGGCCGCCGGAGGGCAGCACCTGTCCTCGTTCCACCCCGGCCGGGGGGCGTGGTGCGCGGCTCCGACCAGCCCGCGCCTCGCACCGCCTCCGCCCACGGCTGACAGGTTAACGCTGTCGGCTGCTGCTTGACCTGCTCCAATGCAGTTTCCCCATCTATATCATTACCACTTAGGGTGTTTGTTAATACTCTGGGTTCCCCGGGAATAAGCTCGGGATCGCATCCTAGCTTGAGCTGCAGGAAACGTCTGGAGGAAGGCAATGAATGTCTCAATTTGCTTCCATGCTGAGTACTACTGATGGGGTGGGAAGAATAGCCTCCTTGGGCTCAAAGTATTTAGCGTCTTTCTCATCTGAAATATGACATAAATAGTACCTACCTTATAGAACTGACCTCAGGATGGGGAGATACTGCCTACAGAGCTCATAATAGATGCATGTCGGCCAATACTGGGTAAGTGTCTGTCCTCCATTTCCTATACACTGTGCATAAACAAATTTGCGCTTAGTATCAAAGAAAATTCATTATATCACTGTCTTTCTAAGCATTGCTAAGCAATTGGAAGAAACGAGGATCCAGCTCTTGGAGGAAACTATGGAAAATTCACAAGACCTGATCATACCACTTGCTACTTTATAGTCTCAGTTCGGCAAAATATTTTTTGGTTGATTTTAAAATGACAGTCTACTCTACACAGAAGGCCCAGATACAACCTTCTCATCCATCAGAGCCAAAATGTTTCCACTCACCTACAGGCCACACATCACTTGCCCATCACCACATTCTTGAACTGCCATCAACTAGTGTTCTCTGTACTAGTTGCTTTGTGTACATTTCAGTTTCCTTAAGACTTAGAGAGGATGTCTCCAAGAGAGTACTGGAGAGTACCTTAGACAGCAAGATGAAAATTAATATACAACTGTGATGTATACCTTGGGATGAATGCATTCTACTGCAAAGATAAAACCATCAAGCAGGCCGGGCGCGGTGGCTCACGCCCGTAATCCCAGCACTTTGGGAGGCCGAGGCAGGTGGATCACGAGGTCAGGAGTTCAAGACCAGCCTGGCCAAGATGGTGATACCCCCCCCCCATCTCTACTAAAAATACAAAAAATTAGCCGGGCATGGTGGCACGCACCTGTAATCCCGGATACTCCGGAGGCTGAGGGAGAGAGCTGCTTAAACCTGGAGGAGCGGAGGTTGCAGTGAGCCGAGATTGCACCACTGCACTCCAGCCTGGGTGACAGAGCGAGACTCCGTCTCAAAAAAGAAAAGAAAAGAAAAGAAAAACCAAGCAGTGGCTTCTAATTAGTAGCAGTACAGGTTTCTTTATGGCACAGGTTTTGAACGCAGCTTATCACTTTATTCAGAACCCCCTGCCTGAATAAAAAACTCGAAGCTGCAGAACTGCTGGCAATTCAACAAATGAGTGCTTATCCCCACATCATATAACAACACTGAGTGATAGCCTTTATAGTGTCATTTAAGACCCACAGAAAGCACGTTTCTCTAGGTGGTTTTCTTGAAAATTTGTACTCTAATGCCTACTTTTCTGTATTTTGATATAAAATGCTGTCAACTTACCATTAAGTTAAAATTGCCAATCAAGAGCTACATTATCTTACTTCCCACCCAGCCTATCACAGTATACCGAGGGCCTTGCTGCCCAAGGTGCTGTATATTGACAACCATACATATCAGAAGCCTTTGGGGCTAAAAATTGGATTACTGGCTGGGTGCAGTGGTTCATGCCTGTAATCCCAGCACTTTGGGAGGCTGAGGCGGGCGGATCACGAGGTCAGGAATTCGAGACCAGCCTGGCCAATGTGGTGAAAACCCCCGTCTCTACTGAAAATACAAAAATTAGCCAGGCGTGGTGGTGCATGCCTGTAGTCCCAGCTACTCAGGAGGCTAAGGCAGGAGAATCACTTGAACCCGAGAGGCAGAGGTTGCAGTGAGCTGACAGAGCGAGATTCCAAATTAAAAAAAAAAAAAAAAAAAAATCAGACTGTTGAGCTTCAAACCTTCCTGGGGGCTGGGAGGAGCCAAAAACGTGCATTTTAAACAAGCATTCCAAGTAATTTTTTTTTTTTTTGCATCCAGAAGTTTGTGAACCACTGGTATGATGAGGGTATGTGTATCCTGGGCTACCCGAAGATATACACAAAAGTTAGATATCATATAGTCTATTTGTCTAAGAAAAATAAATGAAAAAGCAAGCCAAAGGAGTTGACATCTTTATTTCTTTCCTCAAAGAGATTTTAGCAATTACCAAACAAGAACCATATCTCCTCTTTCTGTGGAGTGAGAACAGGAAGGGAAAAAATGGCATCAACAGATGGGTTGTCAATTAGTGAGGGATGAGGCCAGCAACCGCCCTTTGAAAAATACGTTTTCTTCTTAGATGTAAATTCTGCAGTGCAAGACGAGGCACTGGGACATGGGTTGTCGCTTACTTTTTTTTTTTTTTTTTTTTTTAAGATAGTTTTGCTCTGTCACTCAGGCTGGAGTGCAGCGGCATGATCTCAGCTCACTGCAAAATCCACCTACCAGGTTCAAGCAATTATCCTGCTCCAGCCTTCTGAGTAGCTGGTATTACAGGCACGTGCCACTACGCCCGGCTAATTTTTCTATTTTTAGTACAGACGGGGTTTTGCCATGTTGGACGTGGTGATCTACCCGCCTCAGCCTCCCAAAGTGCTGGGATTACAGGTGTGAGTCACCGTGCCCAGCCATGTCTTTTTTTTTTTTTTTTTTTTTGAGATGGAGTTTTGCTCTTGTTGCCCAGGCTGAAGTGCAACGGCACAATCTTGGCTCACCTCAACTTCCGCCTCCTGGGTTCAAATGATTCTCCTGCCTCAACCTCCCGAGTAACTGGAATTGCAGGCATGCGCCACCATGCCCAGGTAATTTTTTGTAGTTTTAGTAGGGACAGGGTTTCTCCCCATTGGTCAGGCTGGTCTCGAACTCCCAACCTCAGGTGATCTGCCTGCTTGGGCCTCCCAAGTTGCTGGGATTACATACATGAGCCACTGCACCCGGCCTCTTGATTCTCAATAGAGCCAAATAATCCTTTCCCTCCAAAATATAAAACCAGGACAAGAGAAAAATGTGAGTTCTCTCACCTATTCCCACTACCTTCCCCCTTCAGAGGCCAAGTTTGGCTGCATGTGATGATCCTTGCTGCTCTCTGCTGCTCCTCACCCATCTCCACTGACCCAACAGAAGGTGGCGCTACTAACATTATGACTCCCCTGACACCTGCTACCTGTTGATTAACAGGAGCATGTTTACCCCTCTGCTCTTGAAATCAAATGTCATTTTTCTGATTACATAGAGGCTACGTGAGAATCTTTTTCAGGAAGTCTAATAGGAAAGTGACTTTTAAAACTGAAATATCTTGAGTACATGAGGTAAATGTTTCTTCATCCTCATTCACTCATTCTTGTTTCTCTCATATATACACATACTTGTTTCTTCTTAGAAAGAGGTAAATGGCCTTGGAAACTATGCCCCTGGCTAGAAGATGATAATCATGCTGACAACGCCATTAAATCAGTCCACAGAATGTGTACGCAAGGACACTGAAGTCACTACTCATTTGTTCAGCCAAAGCTGTCAACTTGGCGATTGGCACAAAGCCCCGAGTCTTCCCTGCAATTCCTGAATTCAGAGGCATCATGCAGGCATTAACCCATATTTATCTTGAGGCCTGCTAAAGATGAATGCAAGTAGATGGGTGGCAGAGGTGAGATTTTCAGTCAGTGGGTTTTCTGGTTAAGAACAGGTGGGCGAGAGTTTGGGCTCCTCTTCTCTCATAGGTGAAAAGAACTGACAGGTTTTTACAAGATTTATGTCACAATCTAAAAATGATTCATTCTCCAAGGCATGAAATAGTTCTTGCTTTATAAAAATAGTACTGCGATTAAAAAAAAAGCACTTCTGCCAAAGGAACCATGTTCCAACACTGCAAACAAGGTGTTCTGCTGAAACAGAACAAGATACACCACCCCCATCCATCCCTTCCTTCCCTGTTCCCCTCCCAACTTGAGCCGTGTAATTCACACCAGTGTTCTGGGTGGTAGGGATACAGCCACCTAAGGCCAGGAGCCCTGGGAGGTGGGAGGGCTTGCATGGTTAAGCACACCAGAACTGAAGCGCGAAGGGTCAGCTGTCTTCATCTAGAATATCTGGATGTTCCTTCCAGAAAGCATCCCCAATGATATCGCAGTGCAAGGGCACTGGCTTTGTCCTGGTCCGGGTTACTGCCATCTTTTTTCCTTCCATTTCTGTTGGCAGCTTAATTTCTTTTGTCATCACTTCATCCACCTACAAGTAAAAATAAAGTAGTGACATTGTTAACTCAGGAGTGGGTTTGGGAGAGAAAAGATGTGGGGATAGTTAACTTCTTATCTTCATATACTTCTGACTGCCAGATTTGAGATATATATAGATATAAATATGTGTATATATATGCGCATATATGTATGTGTGTATATATACATATATATATAATCTCAGTATGCTTGAAGTTCTTTATAATTAAAAATAGTTTTAAAAAGTTTACGTTACCCGAGCATGGTGGCTCATGCCTGTAATCTCAGCACTTTGGGAGGCTGAGGCATGCAGATCACTTGAGGTCAGGAGTTCAAGATGAGCCTGGCCAACATGGTGAAACCTTGCCTCTACTAAAAATACAAAAATTAGCCAGAAATCATTTGAACCCAGGAGGCGAAAGTTGTAGTGAGCTGAGATGGCACCACTGTACTCCGGCCTGAGCAACAGAGCAAGACTCTGTCTAAAAAAAAAAAAAAAAGTTATACTATAGTGAAGCGATCTTAGGAACAAAGAAAGGATTCCATGTTCCTCATTAGCAATAACTATAGAATTAAAGGTGTTTCTTACCTTCCACCTGCATTAAGAGGTATCCAAGTCTGTACCAAAGAACAAA